TTCTGAATGAAATTGTCATGAGATTTGCTTTTAGACTAAACATCAAAGTGCGGTTCTGCTTTTGAAGAAAGACCATGAATGACTTTGTGATGTGAATTGTGAACCTTTATTAATGGAAAGTTTAACTTACACTTAAGTCTTACACTTTCTGAGAAGATGCAGCGTCACTGACATATTAAGGTGTTAGTTTGAGGTTTAGGCAGTAAAATCTGTGGTTGTACTTCCGCTTGTCAGTTACATAAAGTATAATGTGTACAAATCCAGATGATGTGCATGCTCACTGAACTTCTTTGTTATAATATGGAGCAAATGAAGCTGAAGCTATTTACCCCTCTGTCTACAGAGGCTATTTATTGCATGCTATTTTTCACACATCTAGCTTGTAAAACTTAGTTATATATATCTATATATAAAAGCTACGTCTACGCAGGTCATTTTAGTGCAGTCTAAATGGGGTTATTTTTGTATTCACGTGCTTGCTTGCTATTTACTTTTCAGTGTCCTACTATAGCACGCCTGCACAGGAACTTCCTTTTTTGAAGTGCCAATACTTTGATGTTGAGATAGTCAGAGAAGTATTAAAGTGGGCATCACTGTCCTCCAGTCTTCAGTATATGAGGTGGCATATGTGCGCTGCATTAGTGTTTATTTCTTTTATTGATATGGATCAATGGAGGCTGTGCTTTATCCTGCTCCTGCCGCTTTCTGGGTGTTTTGAAAGTAAAGGTAATGTTTTCTATTTACAAATTTGCAGCCCATCTTTAATTCACATCGAGCACAATTATCTGTAATTTTCACTATTGGGTTTGTTAACCCAGACTATATTGCACAATACATAAACTCTTAATTGATTGTTTGCAGTGACTATTATGAAGACTATTGGGAGAGAAGACCAAACTCCAGCATGCACCTGTGCAACACTGAATATTAAACTGATTGCATGTACGATCAGCACAGAAAGGAGCCGAGGAGAAGAGTGTCTCCTGAAGTATGAGACCAGAGAGGACTTTTTTCATGGCTGTGACCCCAGGTTCACACTGATAAAAAGAAATCAGACTGTGTTTCTGCACCTGAACAATTTAACATCAGAGGACAGCGGGAACTACACCTGTGAGTCTACAACTGCTGATGGAGCATTTGTTCTGCATCTCATTGTTACCGTGAAAGGTCTTGATGCATTCTCAAGGAAGGTGAACGTGGAAGGTGAACACAAGCACAAAGGTAACACTGGGCAAACTTATTCCTTATTTTTCATGTGAGTTAAGGTGGTTACTTTCCACTGCTTTAACAGTGTTTATCAAGTGTTTCAGTGATGTGATATCCAC